AATTATATTTTTCTAGAATTTTTATGTAAATAACCATTTTTTTTTTTACTATTTCTTATTTTTCTAGAATTTTATTTTGTTGGAATTTTAATTTTAATTTTTTATAATTTATCAAAATTTTAAGTTAAATATTTTGAAGTTTAAAATTTTATTTGTTTTATAATTTTACGTAAATAAAATTTTATTTAAACGCTTATTTCACATTTGTTTCAAATTTTTTGAGACTCTAAAAACAATCAAAACATTAAAAATGCGATTTGAGTTTTATTTTATAAGTTTAATACTGTTTTCTAAAGTACTATGTCAGACAATTTTTGGATATTTTGCTAAATTGAAAAATGAAAACAAGCTTGAAAACACAAAATAAATATCTCTTAGTAATTAGAAAGAAATTAATTATTGAGAGAACATGAGAAAATATTTGATCTTTAAAGTGTAAATTACAGTCGAAATTATCCAGACGACCTTTCACCGGACATGCTTTTTTACTTTCACTATTATACGGTTAAGCAATAAACATTATTATTTGTAACTCAATTAAAGTCAAACGTTGATATCAACAAATATTTATAATTATTACTCATTGTTATTCACACATTTCAAAAGACTCACTATTATTCATCTTTATAAATTATTTATAAATTTGTCCAATGGATCTATAGTTCCAATTTGAATATTTAATTGTGTTTTTATTCCATTTAATCATTTTAAATTCGTAATGCTGATGGGAAAGCTCTGTAAGTGTTATGCCCTAAACCCAATCGATTTAGGTTATAAACACTTTTTCATATGTTTAATGCATTTAATTATGGCAAGATCTATTATTTATTTATATTGCTTTTCTATTGAAATTATATTAAATAATAGAATCCGTAGATTTAAATCTTTTCAATTTGTTAATCATAAGGAGTTGTGATTATGAGATACAAATTGCAATATGACTGAATCTTAAATTATCCATGGTCGAAGTGATAACGAGACACGGATATCGTTATTAGGGATAGACCATCGCGTGTGGCATTCTTACTTGTGAAGTAAGTAGCTGATCTCACAAGTTAAAGTGTGGTGACACTTGAATGAATACGTGGATGTTTTGTTATAGAACAAAACATTGGAGACCCGCTGGGAGATTCCACATGGATAACTATCTGAGTGTTAGTGGTTAATCTCTAACGTTCGGCAGTGAAATTGATCCTTTGACTTGAGGTCATTATAGTACCTTATATGAGGACGGTCATACTTTGGTGGTGTTGGATGTTACTCTGTCAAGGGTCGCTAATACAACATCGTTCGGGTATGTCAAGAATCATATGAAGGTTGTGAATGATCAATAGAGAATTCGTCACTCTTAGATAGTAAGAGAATATGATCTACATTTTATCCAGTTAAGTTGATTATGAAATCCTTGGCCAAGGTGAACTCATAAGTCGAAAAGGAGTTTTCGATTACATTGACTAAACAGTAGGATAAAAGATATGATCGATAATCGAGATTGACACATATCCATATCTCATAATTGATTGGATCATATTGACGAAATGATTATAATTTCACGGTAAACAAACAAGTTTTGGTTTGTCACATCACGTGACATTTCCCATCACATGTATTGCCTTGACACATTGCTAGATGTCAATTTGGGACGACGAATCTGAATGAGTGATAAATTAAAAGGGTGTTTTAATTTATCGATATTTTGATTAGATCAAAATAATAATTCAGACGTTAGACATCGTGATCGGGAACCTAATGAGTCACACACAAAAGAGAACCAAAAGAATGAGATTTACCAATTAATTAATTAACAAGTGTTGGGTAATTAATTAATTGGATTGCTTATTAATATGCCCAAATTAATTAATTGGATTAATTAATTCATGGATCGGGTTTTAATTAATTTGATTAATAAAATATCGGACCGGGTTTTAGTTTCAAGAGGGGCCGAGCCCACTTGAGTTTATATTAATATGATACTAGGGTTTGAAAACTGTAGAGATTTTATTATTCTTGCTAACACAAGAAAAGAAACCCTAGCCACCATTCTTGTTCTCTGTGTGGATCACCATTCGAGGTTGGACAATTGGACAGCTGGATTGCAGATTGTGATCATTGGAGTTCGTGAATCAGCAAAGGGTTTTACAGAATTCATCAAAGGTATAATTCTAATCACAGTTTCTATCTAAACACATTGCAGATCCTTGGTGGGAATTGAAAATTGTTTTATTTCCACTGTGCATGATTAAGTAAATTCCCAACAAGCTCAACGAAATTCGACATCACTTTCGCATGAAGGATTCAATAATCTAATGGATGTTTTCTTCTAGAATATGTTTTATTAGTCCTTGGAGATATTCGCCTTCAATTGAGTTTAGATTTGCTTTCTTCATCTCTTCGTCCTTCTGATTGTCTCAACAATTAAATTTTGAACTGTCGAAATTTTATTGGAACATAATATTTTGAGGAAAAAAAATAAAATAATGATGTATTGGAAAAGTTAATCAAAGATTTTAATGATTCCAGAAATAGGCCCAACTCAATATTGGACCTACAGCAAACATCACCACAAATCCATTTAGAAATGATGGAAAATTGATCAACGGTGCTTTACATATCAATCATGCTACAATTGCAGACAACACACGACGAGGATTCATTTAATGATGAAAAAAAAGAAAAAAAATAGATGAATCAGATGTTGCCACGACAACATCTATAGAAATTGTCAAGAATTCCCCGTACTTGGAGCTTTTTCCTTTTCATATATGGCTTAAACAGTATTTCGAAAATTCCAACTAAAAATTAGCTCATGTTTGATAGAGATTTTTCAATTTTTTTAAATGAAAAGTGATTTTCAAAGATTATGGTTAAAAATAAAAAAATATTTTATTGAAAAAAAATGTGATTGAAAATGAGTTTAAGAAAATGAAGTTAAAAACTAAATTTTATCTAAAAAAACCATATACAATAGCAAATTTGAAAAAAAGACCCATCTGATTTTATTTTATTTTATCAAATCAAGCCTTCCAATTTCTATTATATTGTCAAAATACCCTATCCCCCTTTCTTCCGTCGTATTACGCTATAGATTTCTATACCCTCCCTCGGGAAGAATGCTTTGAAAAATCAAAGGAGAAACAAAAATCCAAGGAACAAGGATTATAGCTGAATATGTAGAATTGTTTTCTTGACTTTTAAAACTACTTAATTTTTATCATTTTAGAGCACGACCAAGATGCTCTTTAAAAGTGAATGGTTCTCTATTTTAAAGAATCAACTTTTTAAATTATGCTTAAAAGACTCTTCAAATTAACATTTTAAAGTACAGAGTTGACTTTATTCTTTTAAAATCGAGAGCTTTTTTAATAAGGAAAGTTGGTGAATATTAAAAATAGGAAGGGAATTATTATATTATTCAAATTATAATAATTTGGAGGAAAAAAATTAATGAATATAAAAAATAGAGAAAAATAATAAATACATATAGAGAGTACTAAAATTAATAGTGTGTTTGACTGACTTTATTTTCAATTGAACGTGTCATTTTTCCATCCAAATTCCTATTTTTGGAGCGTTCGATTGACAATTTTTTCCATGAAAAATATTTTTTAACTTTTTGGTCATGTGACTATATTTTTTTCAAAAACAATGAGAACATTTTCTGTAGGGAGCGGTGATTTCTATTTTCCACGTAATTCAATCTCTCTTTCATCTATCTCGTTTCTCTCATCTATTCACCAATAAAAAATGGACAAGTCTAATATTTTTTATGTTAAAAACTAAATCGATCAAACGCATTTAATTAATAATTTCCATATAAATAAGTAGTAGTCAATTGATCGTCTAAAATTTATTTTCCTTTCATTCAAATTTTATACTCGTAATTAAACGCACCCTAAAGTGTTAAGAATAAAGAAACGATTGGAATATTTAAAAATGTTTACTCCTTAAATTTATAAATGTTATCTAAATTACAATATATACTATTTAAAAATAGAGAATCTTTTAAAAATACTCTTGTACAATCAAATTTGACTTTAATATCTACAAGGACCAATAAATCATTCACTAAGTCAAGTTGAACATGCAGTCGACTATATAAAAAGATTAGGTCCTGTTTGGTACACATTATTTTTTTTATTCTCACTCTTCTACTCATTTTTAATCACACATTTTTTAATAAAATAATATTTTCCATCATATTAATAACTTTTCATTCATTTTTAACCACATATTCTCCATCAATCTATTATTCAATAATACATTGTTTAAAAAGAATGTATCCTAAACACACATATAAAAAGAAGGAAAAAAAATAGAGGAACACAACTTCTAATAAAATTAATTGTCATTTAATTCAATTTAACTAAAAAAAAAAAAAGGAGGAGAGAAAAATTGCCCAAACTTTTGAGCCATTCATACTCGAGAGCGTAATGATATTGTGATATATGACAAATATGACTTCACGGTGCTTCCTCGTCGTCTCTGCTTCCCAATCCCTCTCTGTAAAGCCACCCAGAATCCTAAAATCCACCATCAAATCTCATAATCAACTACCTTTTGCTTTGAAGTGTCGATCTTATTATATAAACTTATAATTTGTGTAAAAGTTTCAGTATTCAAGAAATATCGGGTATCTCTAGTGGCCATCAAGAATTCCCGATCTTCAGGTGCACTCAAATTCAGATCTTGTTCACAATTCTTGAAGTGGGTTGATCTGAAAATTGATTTTATAATTGTGGGTCTGAATCAGAATTTGTTATAGATTGGTGGGTTTATGTTAAAGAATCAACATTTAGATATATTAGGGTTCAGTTTCAATCCAAATGGTCTTTTTCCATAGCCTAAAATCGATTGACCAGCATATACACATGGAGAAAACTGTGAATTCGGCGGACCCTTGTTTGAAACTGAGGCAAATTAATCAGTTCTACAAGAATAAAAAGTCATCCAATACCCATAATCATTTGAATATTCCGGCTTGCGAACAATCTCGTTATGCTATGATCGATGTAATATTCTTGATTGTTATGATTGGTGCAATTGGAGTTTTACTCAATCCTTCTGTAAGTCTTTTAGTGCGGAAAACTGTTGAACTTGGAGAAGAAGTTGTGGACGTGATGGGAGAGGAAATTGTTAATGCTCCAATTTTGTTTGGATGTTTAGGACTTAGCATTTTATTCGCTGCAATAGCCCTTGTGACAATCGCGGTGTGTATAGATCGGAGATGTGGGAAAGCAGGCTGTAAAGGGCTTCGGAAGGCTGCTGAATTTGATTTGCATCTGGAGACAGAGGAGTGCGTAAAGAATTCCAATTACGTAGCAACGAATGGATTAAAGAAGCAACTTTTTGAATTGCGTCGTGACCACCATAGGGAATTGGAAGCCGAGCTCAAGAAAATGGCACCACCTAATGGAAGAGCTGTTCTGGTATTTCGAGCAAGATGTGGATGCTCTATTGGAAGAATGGACGTTCCAGGCCCAAAAAAGTCTCGAAAGGTTAAAAAGTAGTGTTGATACAATACTTTATCTTTTAGAAGCACATTCGATACTGAAGTTGCCATGTCGATGAGCAGATCCTTTTCCAGTTTAATCTTATCTTAGATTTGAATAAGCTCAATAACTCATGGGAATAAGTTATGTGGACAGTATACATACATAATTAATATAGGAATATAAGGATGCCTTTTATCAACAGCCTTTATTATTTTATGATCATATTTATTCTCGTTATGTTTATGGTTTTGGGTTCAAATGGTTAGGTTATGTTATGTTGTGTTTTTTTTTTCCTCGCTAATCCTTGAGTTACATTTAGACTGATTTAAACTATGATACTCACTGCATTCCATTCTCATTATCTTGAAACTGTTGCTATGGTTGCTTTATTTCATAAAACATTGCTGTAGTGTAAACTGCACTCTGTAGCTCTATTTGGATTCATCCATAAAATGCCTTAGATAGGCTTTTTCAGCTATTGCTGATGCAGCTAATGTTCTGGTATCAATATCCCAGCCCATACCACCTTCCATACCACCTATTGCTTCAGCACAGTGGAAAAAGTTCCTTTTATGCTCCATTCAAGTAAAGTTTTTATGTCTGGTTCTGGCCATTAGAAGGTTGGACCTCCATGCTGTGACAATGTCCATTGGAATCTTAGAATATTCTTATAGATGAATGTTTCCTACTTCCATGACAGCCAACTTAGAACTTCAAATCTTAAGACATGAATCCTTGTTGAATGTTTCTCTTCTGTATTCAGTTGAAGCTAATTTTGATGCCATGAGTGGTACATTTATTTCCTTTTCCATTGATTTCTAATCGGTGTCTAGCTAATGACCAAATATTCAGCAAATCTAGGATCACATTCATGATGAGCCTAATATCTATGAAAATTTGACCTGTTTTGTGGGAGGTATTTCTCTATTAGATGATAATTTAATACTGCCAATTTAGTTCTATGGAATTTTGTTTTCGTAGTTGGGGAGCCCGTGTATGAGCTTTTTCTACAGTTTCTCATACTAGGCCTGATATATGACAGTGAACAGAAATATTCAACTTTAAGCAGTGAAATTAGCCTAATCAATTACAATAAAACTAGGTTCCCTTTATATTCATCTTCTCTGGAATGTCAATGAAGATTATAACCTTCATTGTTATTTGCATGTTGATGCTATGTAAAACCTCTAGGGTCCGTTTGATAGGCAAATGTGGAAAGGAATTCCAATGTTAGTTGAAAAATAAAAACCAACCAAATCCATAGGCTATGATGCACCGACACAGACACGTGAACGTGTCGGATACGCCGACAGGCGATTTTTAAAAAAAGTACAAACATGACACGTTGATTAAATTCTTAAAAATTCTTCATTTATATAGTATAAATTTAGTTTTATACTTGTTATTAATTTTTCTTGTTGAAATCTTTTAAATATGAGTACCTATTTGTTATTTACTAATAATTTTGAGTTAAAAATATATAATATTTCTAATAAAAAAGAAAAATGATCATGGTAGAGTGTCTGAGTAGTATCAGTATCCGACAATATATAATATTTCTAATATAAAAACAAAAATGATTACGGTGGAGTGTCCGAGAATTGTCGGTATCGACTCGTGTCAGACACGTGTCGGACACGGACATGCTACCCTAATTGAAGTGTTCGTGCTACAAAGTCCATAGGAATTCTTTTTTCATGAAAACAAAGAAAATGCAACTTAAAGAAGTATCTTGAAATTCGATTTTCATTTTCACGTTGCAATCAAACGACTAAAGTGGAATTCGTTTTTCTTGAATGTGACATTTTCCATGGAAAATATGGCAATCAAACAGGGTGTAATTGTGCAAACTCCATTAGGACAAAGAAACATGCTGCAGATGAAATTGATTCTATTGTGATACATTTTATGAAGAAGTGTCTTATCATCCTTGTATTAGATATCCTAAACTTATTGGTCACATTGAACATTTGACATGCTTAGTCTGGGCAATTGCTAATGCAAATCATGTTGCTAGAAAATGCCCTACAAGTACTACTATGTATGCATAACCAAATATTCCATGTCATTGAAATGTGCTAGCCTATTCTCTATGAATTATGTTACTTGTACAACTTTGGTTGACTCACTTGGCATCATTATATTCATCAATTTTAAAAATTGTTTTTAAATCAACAGATCAGATTTTGGCAACACCAAGATTGTCAACAAGGGGTTGTACAAATAATTTAATTGATTCTCTATAGGTTGCTCCTTTTGGGTGGGGTTGCTGATTTATGTCTTTTCCGCCCTACATATCCGTGGCACAATTAAGAAGTCCAACTATTTCTCTCAAACATGTCTTAACGTCATTGATCTTATGCATATCGTGAAACTTTGTTCCTTGCGTATTTCATGAATACAAGATTGTGACTTGTTAAGCAAAAGTTCATCAACCACTATTAAGACTGTAGAATCTACTTCTTTATTTGATAGGAGTGTGGAATGCAACACTCACTATCGTGGAATCTAATTCTCGTGGTATATTATGAAAAGTAATGCTATTTGTACATTATTGTAAACATATTGATGTACAAATTGATAATATGAATAAGATTAACAGACTTTATTTTTCTCCATTCTTCCGAAACATGATTTTTCCTCTATACTTCTGTTTTTCTCTTCCACATCATCAATATGTACATGAATCTCCATACAATGATGTACAAGTGGCATTATTTTATTATGAATACAAGTGTTTGACTTTACGAAGCGTGAAACTCTTCATTAAAAGACGAAGTAGTAGAAAGTATAAGACTTCGTTGATACGTGAACAATTAAGGTTGAACGAGGTACAAGATCACAAAGAACTCTTTTTTTCAAGTTGAGATCAAGGACAATCATCTGATTGTGAAACCATAATTTCACGGTTGAACAAAGTACAAGATAAAAAATAAAAACAACAAAAAATAGTCACTTCAAAAACGTCAAATTGAAAGTTGAGAAAGGGATTACATGTCTAGTGTCAAAGTGACCAGGTGCCAAACTCAACACATCTTTAGTCGAAGATTATGATTAAGGCCCATGAAGTGAAATTTTTCAACGTTCAATTATACACCCAATCTTGGATGCGTAAATTTACTTTTATTGTATTATGTTCATTTACATTAATAAAATATAATTTTATTTAAAAAAGAAATGAGACTAGAGCTTCAAGAAAAAAAATTAAAATTGACAATTTCCTTCGATTAGAAACTTCCATTTAACATTGTAACTGTACAGCACTACCTTCACAAAACCTGCCTAATTGCCTATGTGCTTGAATTTTAAATCACAGGAAAAGGGCAATCTAACAAATCAACAGGATCAACGGCTATGAATCTATCTCCATGTCTCGATCAGACAACCCGTCAAGGCCCGAATCGTTTCCATTATCCGAACCCGAACTGTCATGCCCGGATTCCTGGTTCCTTCTATTGGAGCCCCGACTACCCGTTATGAACATATGGATCCTTAATTCACCTGTCATTCTCGTTTCATCGTCACTGTCAGTCTCTTCTTTCTTCTCCTCCTCCGGCATCTTGTACCGACAATACGGGCATGACCCGTGGATCCCCAACCACTTGTCGATACAATCCGAATGGAATTTATGGTTGCACGGCATTTGTTTGACTTCCCCGTTCATTTCAAACTCCGATAAACAAATCGGACACTCCAAACCCGATTTAGTAATTCGGACCACGGGTAGGGATTTTATAGAAGCTTTTGAAGCGGGTATAAACCCTTCCTTTTCTGGGATTTCTCGGAGAATAGATTCAACGTCGCCGGAGCCGTCAATAAGGGTAATTGACTCAGTGCTTTGGTTTACGAACACCATGATTTCTCGACTGTGGTAGGTCTCCGAGGCGGCTCTGGTGCCTAGTATCCAGGGGAGGAACAAAGCGGTGGCGCCTCTGGAGGCAAGCTCCTCGAGTGATGGCGGAACTGGCATATCTGATCCCGATGAATCCATTTTCAACGTATTATTTGATTTTGTTATGAATTCTTGAACTGTTTTTGATGGAGAAGAAAATGAATGACGTTGGACCTGTTAATATACAGAGTTGGAGACTGTGGGAGAAGCGTTGTAGAAAGATCCAAGAAATTGTACTGAATTCTATTATTTTAATGGGTTTGTACTATTGGGAAATGAGGGAGGAACTTCCTCGAATGATCTAAGAAATTGCGTGCTGATTCTTTAACTTTAATTAACGCGTCTCGACTGTTGGAAAATGAATAAAGTTAGTTATACAATTTTTGACAACTAATTTGACTACTCATGTGTTATCAAGACCAATTTTAACAACAAATTTTTTAAATGTACGATTGAATATGATATTTGACAAGTTTTGTAAAACGGATACAAGTAGCATGATTATAAAATTATTAGGTCCATTTTGATTTGATAGATATTTTTTAGAATTTACTTTTTATTTTTTAAAAATTTATTTTCAACTCCATATTTTTTAAATAAAATAATTTTACACGTAAATCTAAAAAAAATATTTATTTTTAATCACACATGCTATAAAAAAAACACTATTACAAAATATATTCTCAATAAAAATGAAGCTCAAAGCCTCAAACACGTCCTATATGTGAATTTATAAATTATTCTTACTTTTTAATCACATATTTTTCAAAAATTACTTTCCATAAGATTTACTTCATACATGTCCTAAATGCCAGTTTTATATGATTTTTATTTCTTGTAAAAGAGCTTTCTAAGGATATTATTTTAATTTTTGTTTGAAAACTACATAAAGTGTTTTTCAAAAAAAGCTCTTTGAACTAGCTTCCTCTAAAAAATCTTCTAACAGGATAAAAACTTTTATAAAAATTTTTAAATAATTCAAAAGCAACTTTTTGATCTTAAAAACTTATTTTGATTTCTTAAAAATCATGTCAAATGGGCCCAAGTCTCGTTTGATATTAAGTTGTTTTACTTTAATTGATGTTAATTTGACATCTATTAAAAATATGATGTGTGAGCTAAGGAGTAATGCTACGTAATACTAATCTAGGAGGAAAGTGGAACCACATCTTCCAGTTGTTGATAAATTGTATTTTTTATCTTTTTGTTTAATTGTTTTAAAGATGTAGAGTCCACTATCATGTTAATTAGTTCTGAGCATCACTAATGCTACGACTAGTTGGACATATTCTAAAAATTCAAGGTCTAAGGTATTTTCTAGGTTTTCTTCGGAGGCCTAGTTTTCTCCTCTTGGATTTTTTGTCTGTAGAGGTGGTAGGGATGGAGTGGAGTTTGCTCGAACTGTAAGAAAAACTGAGGTTAACTGAGGACGAGAAGCAAGAGGTGGAGGTTGAGGAGGAAGAATTTCTTTTATCCGTGGAGAAAAGCAAGCACTGTTTAACCTTCAGCGTGATTTCGGACCGCGAAGTGAATAAAGGGGTCTTGAAAACCACTATGTTGAAGGTCTTGGAAAGTGGAAGGGAAAGCTGTTATTAAGGATGCGGGTCGCAACAAATACTTGATTGAAGTGAAAAGAATCGAAGACGAGAAGCGAATAATGATGGGCAGACCATGGTCATTTGATAAACAATTGATTTGCTTACAGGATTGTGAGGGTGTCATCTTTTTCAAAGACATTCTGTTTCAAGAAGAAGCCTTTTGGGTTCAATGCCATGAACTACCATTTGCTGCGATGAATCAGAAAACGGGTTATGACATTAGTTCACGTTTGGGGAAGGTCCTGTGGGTCGACACGGACAGCAGTGACATATGTTTAGGAGAGTTTCTACGAATTAAAGTATTAATCGATATATCCAAGCCTCTCCCAAGGGGCCGATTTCTCAACCTAGGTGGTACAAACTTCTGGATTCCTTTCAAATATGAAAGGCTTCCAAACTTCTGTTATCATTGTGGTCATCTCAAACACTAGCCTGGTCAGTATGAGAAGAGATAACAAGGTTCTACCACAGGGGAAGGATTGGAACAGCAATACGGAGCGTGGTTACGTGCGAGTGGCAAGATACCACGTGGCTGTTTCATATGTGGGAAGTGCTTGTGTTAAGGACGGCCCTCTGGAAATTTATCGCTGCGAGTATTACGGGTGTGGTCAGAGTGGTGACGTGCATAATAGAGAGCATATCTTGGTTGTAGTTCATCCAAGATCAGCTGCAGAAATTTTCCCTCAAATCATGGAAGATATTTTTGGAGTTCAAGCACCTGGGACAGTACAAGTTCACGAGGATTGTCCAGTGGATGCTAAAAAGATCGTATTGACAACCCATGCCATTATTAAGGAAAACATAGGAGATCAGCAAGAGCACAGCCCAAGTGAGGTTTCTCCATCACTTTCTCTAGATCCATATCAAGTTGAAGCCCAACTAGCATATCTTGACGCGTAAAAAGGGTCTGGCCCAAGGAAAGTACTGGAAAAAGAGAGCTAGGGTAGGCCTTACTCTGCCCCCTTATTGCTGGATCTAACAGAAATTCAGAGGTCCATAAAGCTCAAAGACAAAAAGAGAGTGGAGCTCCTGAACTTATTTCCCTTAAACGACTCTGACAACTGATTGATGAGGAAATTGATCTGGATATGGTAGAGGCTGCCCTTCCGTTCACCATGAAACTCTTGTGTTGGAACCTTCGAGGGCTTGGGAACCCTCGGATAGTACGGGAGCTTCACCTGTTGGTGAAGGAAAAGTCCCCAAGTGTAGTCTTCCTTTTTGAGACCAAACTTCATAGAGACAAGATGGAGAGGCTAAGAGTGAAGTTTAGATTAGATAATTGTTTTGTTGTAGATTGTGTAGGTTGAAGTGGAGGTTTGGTGATCCTACGGATAGAAGCTATTAATGCAACTTTAATCAATTTTTCGAGAAGTCACATTTCATTGAGTATCAAGACTGATAATGCTAGCTTATCGTGGGTTCTATCTGGGTTTTATGGCAACCCAGTTACTGAAAGAAGGAAGGAAAGCTGGGAGATTATGAGAAGGCTGAATCCAGATAGTTCGTCTCCATGGTTGATTACGGGAGACTTGAATGAAATCCTCAATATCATAGAGAAGTTCGGAGAGGCCACACGACCTTTTTCTCAAATGGACAGTTTTGGTAAGGTGCTAGAAGAGTGTGAGCTAAGCGATTTGGGTTTTGTTGATTCCAAATTCACGTAGAGTAACAAGAGGAAGGGGAGCCAGTTTATTAAGGAGAGGTTGGAAAGAGCTTTTGCCAATCATTTCTTCCCCTCTCTTTTTGGCAATTGTGACGTGCTTGTACTTTTGATTATCAACTCGAATCATAACCCACTTCTTATATCCTGTACTAGCAGCTCTGCTGTTATGAATTCACATTACTCCAAGGGTTCCGATTTGAAGCGACTTGGTCTCAAAAGCAGGAGTGCAAAGAATTGATTAAAAATGCCGGTCATCCCCTAGGGAACAGAGTAGTTCGATACGTGGTTTCAATGAGGGTCTTATGAGTTGCAGGGAGAATCTCCAGTCTTGGGCCAAGTCTTATGCAGGAACTTCTAGGAAATCAATCAATGCTAAAATGGGGAAGCTCGATTGCTGCAAAGTCTGAACCAAGGGGATTGGAATGATACAATTGTTGAAACTCAACGTCAAGTGGATACGATGCTAGCAGATGAGGAGACCAAATGAAGGCAACACTCTAAACAATTGTGCCTCAAGAGTGGGGACAAGAACACATCCTATTTCCATAAATGTGCTTCTCAAAGATAGAAACAAAACACTATCAAGAGAATTAGGAATGAGAGGGGCGATATTACTACCACACGGGATGAGATTCGCAACACTTTTCAACGTTTCTATAAGCACTTGTTTTCGAACTCCATTCCGTATGGAATCGAAGAAGTAGTTCATGGCCTTGTAGCCAAAGTTACTCATGACATGAACGACCAATTACATAAAGCATGTACCAACGAGAAAGTAAGGCAATCACTATTTGCTATGGACCCATTGAGCTCTCCTAGCCCCGACGGCTTCTCAGCAGGTTTTTATCAAGACAATTGGGATTTTATTGGCGATGGAATTTGTGCTGCTATGAAAGATCTTTTTTCATCGCACCTTGGTTTCAATGAGATTAATGATACTTTTCTCGTCTTAATTCCTAAGAAGAAGAGTCCAGAATCTATATCATACTTCTGACCCATTAGTCTTTGCAACGTCCTGTACAAAGTAGTGTCCAAGGTTCTGGACAACAGACTTAAATCCATCTTATCTTCCATTATATCACCTGCTCAAAGTGCTTTTGTTCCTGGATGGTTAATTTTTGATAATATTATTGTGGCCTACGAAGCTATGCACTCCATGAAGTGTCGAGTCAAAGGAAAAAAGGAAGGCTATATGGCTTTTAAGTTGGACATGAGCAAGGCCTATGACCGGATCGAGTGGAGTTTTCTAGAAGTCGTTCTGAGACAATTTGGTTTTGGCGACAAGTGGATTGAGCTAACTATGCTATGTGTGTCCAAACTGTGAAATACTCCCTGATTATCAATGGAGTGCCGCAAAGTCAGTTTCAACCTACCAGAGGATTAAGGCAAGGGGATCCGCTATCACCTTACCTTTTCATCATGTGCTCAGAAGTTCTTGGATCCTCCCCGGATACAGTGGAGGCAAAAGGGTTCATCTCTGGCTTTCCTTTTGCACGAGCAATCTGTTAGTTAACCATTTATTCTTTGCAGATGATAGTCTGATTTTCTGTAAGGCTAGTGTTCTAGAATGGTGGAGGCTCTCTAACCTTCTGAATACTTCTGAACATGCGTCTGGACAACAGCTAAATATGGACAAGACCTCTATCTATTTTAGCAACAATCAAGAGTGCAATTCTTCATGAAGCAAAAGTTAGAGAAGCGAAATCCTTTGATAAATACTTGGGTTTGCCAGCTTATGTTGGTAGGAATAAAATGGCAATGTTCAAATCGGTAAAGAAGTGTTTATCAAGGCCATCATCCAGGCTATTCCAATGTATTGTATGAGCATGTTTAAGCTT